TATAGATTATACAATGTCATATACATCCCAACAAAATGAGAAGGATGCATTTTAACCATAGTCTAATAGAAAGGGCAAGAACTAGAATGATTAAGTCGAAAGTTCCTAAGAAATTTTGGAATGAAGCTATTAGAACAGCAGCACTTTAAATCGTAGTCCAAGTACAAATTTAGACTCAATTATTCCGGCTGAATTGTGATATGATAAAAAACCAAACGTTAAAAATTAAAAAATTTTTGGATCTATTGCTCGTTCATATATACCAAAACAATTTAGAAATAAGTTTGATGAAAAATCCGAAAGATGCATAATGATGAAGTATGCACGAAGTGGGTATATAGTAGATTATGGAATATTGAAAAGGGAAAAATTAAGATTTCTAGAAATATAGTATTTAATGAAAATAATTTTTATTATAAAACGAATAAGATACTATAATACAATAAATACAAAGAATGATGATTGCAATAAAACAATTGATATTGTCGTAGATAATGAGATAAAGGATGATAATAATAACTTATTACTATATATATTAATTATAACGTATTAAATAATTATTTCAATGATTGCTTAGTATACAAAAGGAATCTGACTATTGATTTTATAATTACTTCGGATTACCTAACATAACAATAACGAATATGTAAGTTACGCGTTGGAACTGATAAAATTTCTATCATGTATTTTACATTAAATTTGATGATAGAAGATATTCGTGTAAAATGTCAAATAAGTTCTGAGTGATTTTCTATCAATGAATAACGAATATGAGTATAAATATTGTATACCTAAATCCATTTCTATTGATTTAGGATTAAAACCGGATATTGTCGGAAATCTATTCAAAACAATAGCAGTGTATCTAACTTAAAAAATACGATGGCTTCATAAATAACAATAAAATCTTATAAGAATTTAATCGTTTCTTATATATTTTTATCGAATTTTTTCAGGGATGGTACGCATTCGCCAAATTTCCTTTATTTATTCATTTTTCTGTTTATTTGTAGAAACGGTTTAATATAGGATAATTACTCCTAAAATATTTTTTTCATACCATCAGGAAGTCCCAAGAAAGGATAAAGAACATTGCAATTAAATGTTCGATGAATACGCGGAACGTCCGAGAATAACCGCTCTGTCACAAAAATGAAAAAAAAAACAAAAATAAACAAGAAAATAGCGGTGTAGATGGGATGCAGTATGCTCTGCCAGCAGAGCAAGCGGAAGTGCGTTCGCACTCGGTCCTTCGTATTTTCTTTCCTTCTCTCGAACGTCTTTTTCATTCTCCCTTTCGTCTCCCTGTCGCTCGCAGCACACAGTGGTATTCTACACAGTAGAATAATCCTTTCGGTCTTTCTTCTACCCGCTGACTTTGCCGCCTCGCTGCATGGTTGTCGCGCGTTTCCGCAGACTACCTTTCTCAATCCGCGATGCATCGCATTTTTCTCGCCCCACAAACTTTTCTTTGCTGAAATCGAAGCGAAAAGCGGCCGTCAGATACGAAATCAAGGTTGTAGTTTTTCATGCTTTCTCTCTCTCTCTCTCTCTCTCTCTCTCTCTCTCTCTCTCTCTCCCCCTCTCTCTCATAATATACGAGCTATCTCTGATGTGTCCTCCTCTCTCACCCTTTTAGATAAAATTTAATAAAATTTTTTTTATTTTTTTGCAATTATAAGCTGGGCAGGTCTAATAAAAATCTGACAAGTCTTTGGTACGCTAACTCGATCTTTTCGAAAAATCGCGCCTTTTTTTTTATCATCGTGCGAGTCTTCTTCGTGCAGTTATTCTTGTGTTTAATTCTTAAATCATTGCAAGCCTTTTTGCCTCGCTTTCTTCGACTTTGTCGCGAATGTAACTGCATATTATATTATAATTTATTCGATTCGGTATGTGTACGTTTGTCACGTAAAAGTTCTTTTTATTCTGTCCGAATAAAAGTATCACTATGCAGAAAAAAAATTAATCCCTTTTTTGTTTAACTGACGGAAATAATATAAGTAACTGCTGAAAAAATATGGAAAAAATTGTTTTTATATATTTTAAATTTATTATAATTTATATCCATATAAAATATATATATAGGATAAGATCGAGTATGATGAGCACTTTAAGGAAACATTTTGGTATCTAGTATAATATGGAGAATAAAAAAATCTTACGCAACCTACTATGATAGATTTGTTAATGTTTTATGTATTTTAGAATTGAAATTGATTATTTTAATGTAAATGTTGAAATGATGGCGGTTGCTCTTATTACCTATCTAGTGTCCTACCCTTTGGGTAGGCTAATATAAGCATCCTTAGGAATAATATGAGCACAGGAAATTTTTTGTAAGAAATTAAGCAGAAATGAAAGATTGAAAAAAAAATATATATATATATATTAGGTGTACAACTTTGCTTCCGCCGTTTTTTTCCGAAATTCGAGGTTTTATTGTAAAAAACTGGTTATACATTTATGATTCAAAGTATTGTTCATCGCTGGCCACTACTTTCTCCCATCTTTCGGGTAGCGTACGAATCCCGCGTCGAAAAAACTGGTCATCTTTTGAGGCTATCCACGAATCGATCCAATTTTTTACTTCTTCATAAGACCGGAAGTGCTGATCAGCCAGGCCGTGTGCTATTGATCGAAACAAGTGATAGTCAGAGGGAGCAACGTCTGGAGAATACGGCGGGTAGGGTAGGACTTCCCATTTCAACGTTTTCAAGTATGTCTTGACCACTTTCGCAACATGGGGTCGAGCAATGTTGTCATGCTGCAAAATCACTTTATCGTGTCTCATTGTATTGCGGCCGTTTGTCTTTCTCAGCTCAAACGCATCAATTGCGTTCGATACCGATCGCCTGTGATTGTTTCAGTCAGTTTTAACAGTTCATAATACACTACGCCGAGCTGGTCCCACCAAATACAGAGCATGCCCTTGGAGCCGTGAATATTTGGTTTGGCCGTCGACATGGAAGCATGGCTAGGAACTCCCCATGATTTTCTGCGCTTGGGATTATCGCAATGAACCCATTTTTCGTCCCCAGTCATAATGCGATGCAGAAATCCCTTCCGTCTTTGCCTTTCAAGCAGCTGTTCACAAGCAAACAAACGCCATTCAACATCTCTCGGCTTCAATTCGTACGGCACCCTTCCTTGCTTCTGAATCATTCCCATGGCTTTGAGGCATTTTGAAATGGCTTGTTGAGTCACTCCCAATGATCGTGCCAATTCTTCTTGATTTTGACACGAGTCTTGCTCAATGCCTCCAATTCTGCATCTTCGAAAACCTTCTTTCTTCCACCGCTATGCCGGTCTTCGACATCAAAATCACCGTTCTTGAAGCGTTGAAACCACTCACGACACGTTCTTTCACTAATAGCGACCTCACCATAAGTATTTGAGAACATTCGATGAGTCTCAGCCGCAGTTTTCTTCATATTGAAGCAAAAAATTAAAACCTCCCGCAAATGAGAATTTGGCTCGTAAACTGACATTTCAATCGAGAATAACTTTATGATGCAGACACAAATCGACTAATGTTTCTATGGGATTATGTTGACAGATGCCCAAGTTTATTGTATAACGTCTATGATCTATTTATTTCGACCACCACTTACCGCTAAAGCCATCTATAGGAAAACGGCGGAAGAAAAGTTGTACACCTAATATACTGTCGCAATACATTTCTAAAGAACTGATTGTTATAATGGTTGACCCTTCATCAGACACTTTTTTTTCAGTGTACTATATGGAATAATGAAGATGCTCATAATACCACCAATCATGCATATCTATCCGAAAAACTCCCATGTCTAATAAATCAATAATGGTCTCGGGATTTTATGAAGTTAGAATGGCTTAGAATATTGTTTCCTTTACAAATATTAACATGCAGAACAAAATATCTTATCTCATTGTAGATTGAGAACCTTATGAAGTTACAAGAAAAAATGTAAGAACTAAAAAAAATATGTATTTATTTATTATACTATAAACTATAAGAACTATAAAAAAACGTATTTATTTATTTTATACCAAATATCTGAAGTACATAATTTAGATCAAACTTCACAACATATTGAAATGTCGCGAAGACAGATGCATCTTTCTACACTTGGCACTACTAGTACCAACCGTTACAGAAATATAAAGTGTGCTCATATTATCTGCAGTGCCCGATCCTACTCAATATATAGTTATAATTACTTTAAAATATGTATGTTTCAAGAATATTAAAAAATTGTTTTTTTCTTGATTATCAAATGATGTACATCCATGAAAATTTACTACACGTGTAAACTGTCATGGCAGTAACTATAGGACACATTGCTTTAAATGCTTTCTCCTTTTCACCCTTTCCTTCGTTGTCTCGGTTAACATTTTTTCGTATTCGTTTTGCTTTCACGAATAGAAGAATACTCTGAGAAGATAACTCTGAGCGGTTTTTCTCCTCTTCCTCCTTTTTTCGTTCTTTCCCACTTTCTTTTTCTTCTTCGTATCGCGCTTAGATGGTTACCATTCACGCTCCATTGCTTTTTTTCACGAATCTTGCACATCCGTTTTCGTCGTACACGTCAACTTGTTTTCTATCTTCTCTCTCTCATCCCCTTTTTCGTTCGCCTCGAGCACCCTCGGTCCTCGACGATCATGCGCTTATGCGTTTTTACTTTCTCTCACCCGCGCAGCATGCTTCTCCCTACAAATTCTCGCGACTGGCGCTCACTTCAGTTAGTTGAGTTGTTTCAGTCTACGCCGAGTCGGCACGCGCGTTGGAAGTGTTTCGTCGGTTTCGAATCATCGCATTATGCTGTATCGTGTCGTCGTATCGTGTCTTACAAGTTTGTTCACTTATTTCCTGCGAAGTAAAAACGATCACGAAAACGTTTTTTCCTTTGATCGAAAAATGCGTTCGATTTTGAAGCGAAATCTGTCACGGGTGGCAGCATAGTAAATCTGCGAGGTGATTATTCGGTGTATTCTGCGTGAAGTGTGTCGCTCTCGATTTAGTCAGATCGACGAACAAGTGAGATTGTCAGTGATTGTCAGTGACGAGTGTCGTGCGCTTGATCGCTCCTCTTTCATTGCATTATTGTTGATTGTTTTTGTTCTGTTTCATTCTATCGTGTATTTTATTGTGCTCACAATTCATCCTGTGAAACGGATATTCTGGATCATCAGTTATCGGATAGGACCCATTGATTAGCTGCTGAAACCGTGCGACATGGATTTCATAATATTAAAGGTAAGATCTCTGTTCAGCTTTCAGTTCGTAGAAGTGCGACATATGTGCAAGCAACCTTGCGTTGCTGCTATGTATAAAAAAATTTATTTTTTTCTATTTAGGATACTCTGGACGATATTCATAGTCGATTCTTATATTTAAAACCGTCTTATATAGTTTTAAAATGTAATAAATCAATTAGAAGGCTATATTAAGATACATTAAGATATTATTTGAGACTGTCTTAAAATAAAAACTGTGAATATCGGTCTCTGATTATTATGGCATACATTTTATCACATCTTTATCACATCCTAACACTAAACTAATTTTGAAATATTGCTGCGTGTCATTTATTTTATTCGGGATATTATTGCAATATACGTATATTCCTTTCTTCTCTTTAAATACTTTGATTACATATTAAAAATTACATATAAGATCTGTGATTGAACTAGTGTACACTTGTGGAATTTCAGATTTAGTTTAATCCAAGTTAACTAGAAAATGAAATGAGAAAACTTTAAAATGAGATAAATATATGTTTGATATTAGGTGAAAGCAAAAAAGAGAGTTCTAATGCAGTCTAGTATAGGAATAAAAAACAGACCCACTAATAACTTTGGCTAATACTGTAGCGCGTAAAAATTTTGGTCATCCTATTTAATATATTCTTACTTATCGTAGCAATATCGCGACATTTCTTCACATCGCTGTAATAATAAATAAATATATCATTTCATAATATCATATGATATTATAAAATATCACCACGTACAAATAAATTTTTTGATCGTTTGTAACATTCTTTTATCGCAATATATCCATCTTCCATCGCTTTTCATTAGTCTAATTACATTAACAAAAACTTTCTTCAAATTTTTGTTCGCGCATAAAAAATTTGCTATATCGAATGAATATTTTTTAATTCATCAATCGCATTATGCGCAAATGCAATTTTACAGAACAAAATTACATTTGTCTACAACGTGACTGATCGATCTACGAATTAAAAAATTCGTCATTATATATTTTATTATCGTACTTTACTAAAATAAAAATGAATTCCGAAGCAAAGAATTTGTTAATTTTTTGTCTATTCAGTCTAGTCTATTTAGGATATTTCTCTCTCATTGAGATATATAGTTCGACTCTCCAATTAAAATAATTTTTACTTTAGTACTATCATGTATAAAAATTTGTCTTTGTCTTTTTAAGAGAATATTCATCACAATAGTTTAAATAGTTTAAACAATGGTTTAAACGAGTTTTAACTCAGGAGTTACCTGTGATTGTTACATTCCAGAGCAGCATGAAAATAATTTGGATTTCCGATGGTAATGGGTCCAGGTTAATGAGGGTAGAAAATAAAACTTGTTAGTCATTGTAATTTTCTTTATTGATCGAGATACGTCTATTTTTTATTTCTTTTTCTAGAAAATATTGATCATGTCTGTATACATATGTGTATATATTTGTATGCATGTGTGAACGTAATAATCTCAAATACTAATAAATTATAAAACAATCAATATACGTATGATATTATACATAGTTAATATTATTGTTACTTTTAATCGAAGGGCAAAAAATTCTCCAGGTGAATATGCAAAATAAAAATTAGATAGTTATTTTTGGCTGAAATTTTTTACTATTTCCGCAATACATATCAAAACGAAAATCGCCTCGTCTTGCAAAATTTGCGAAATATCGTGATTTCTCAACGAATATATGGACAAAAACGCGGTTTGTCCTTTGAGAGTTAAGTGCGTTGTACTCTCAAGTATTCATTGCGCCTAATGTGCCTCCTGTGTATCGTGGCATTCGAAATAATTCATGCGCTGTATAGAAAGTTATATGAACATGATGCGCGAACGAAGCAATCCGTTAACTCGTTCATACTGCGATATTGAGCTCAGTCGATTATTATCAAAATGATCAGAGACGAATTTATTTACTCAAACTAGTTCACTTTGTACGACTTTATTAGAATTTGTATAATGCATTCTCATTCTACTCGTTTGTTTTTGAAAAAAGAAAAATTTTGAAGTAGTTCAAAAATCTATTGAATATGAATATCGCAAAAGGTTTCATAAGTTAAAAGTGGACAAGAAGTTTGTAATCGAGAGTGAATTTGCGAGTTTATTTCAAAGAAAAGAATATAGACAGTTTTATTCATTTTGTTATTTAATACAATATTTGAGATGTAGAAAATTAGTTTATACTACGAAACTTATCAAAAATACATATAGGTATGTATAGGACTTTTTCGTTATTAAAGACTCAAGAAGATCCAAAAATTTTGCCTCTCGCGTTTTTCCATGATTCTATTATTTTTAAGAAAGTAATCTGTATTTTTTAGTATGCAGATTGAACCTTAAAATAAATCATAAATAGAAAAATTATAACAAAACGGAATAATAGAATAAATATAAATATAAAACTAATTTTTATATTATTTATATCGTTATTATTTTATATGTATGTAATGACATACATAAACATTTTTTTTAACAGTCTATTTTAAATTTAATCTGTAAACCAGTTTTGAGGAAAACTAGGCTAGAAAATAGTGGATTGTTTTTTTAGAATTGTGAAACGCGAGGCACTTAAAATTTTCGGTTTGTCTTCAATAACATCATACATAAGTAAAGAAAAATTCTACATTTTTAATGAATTTTACAATTTAATTTTTTGCATATCTCAAATATATTAACAACCTTCTCTGAAATAAATTCGAAAATGATCTCGCAATTCTTATGAAAATTGGGTCCCAGTCAAATTGGCTGAAATTTGATATGATCTAGATTTTGATTCACTGATAAAATATCTTAATCACCAGGTTGAACAATCAATAATTTTAAAGTTATGGCGACTCAAATATCCAATTTAGGTGGTACTCCATTGTCAGGTATGATGTAATGTTAGACATGTGAGATAAAAAATCTCAATGATCACCAGACTGAATGATTAATAGTTTTAAAGTTATGATGGCTTAAACATCTAAATTTTATCTCCATCATCAGGCGGTATGACGTGATGTGTTTAATGTGTTTCATCCCCTTAAAAATCTTCATCTAGCCGATAAAAGCGAGATCGGCCTTCGATTTTGTTTCTACTACGAAGAAATTCCAAATAATATGCGTGCGTATGCGTATGTGTGTATGTATTCGTATGTGTGAGCATGTAAATATATAGCTACATAATCGTATATCTACATAAAAATAAAAATGTGAATAAAGATTTTTAAGGAGATGAAACACATTAAAAGCCTAACATCATACCGCCTGATAGTGGAGATAAAATTTAGATGTTTGAGCCATAACTTCAAAATTATTAATCATTCGGCCTGGTGATCATTGAGATTTTTTATCAGTGAGTCAAAATCTAGATTATATCAAAATTCAACCAATTTGATCGGGATCCCATTTCCATAAGAATCATCATTACTGCGTTCCTTTCACATTTAATTTGATCATATAAATCTTTTATTGCCCTTAACACAAAGAAAAAGTGTATGTGGTAAAATATTGGAAAAGTTGCATTAATTAATTGCATTAGTTAATTTTATATATATTTTATGTGTATTTTATTATTTTGATGTTAAAATAACATTAAAAACGTCATTTCATCGCTGAAATGATGACACATAACATTACCTTGTTTGTTGGAATATTTCTAAATCTTGATGTGAAACTGCTTAATGCTTTGTCAGTTTTTATCCAGAACTAATTAAATCTAGTCAGATTTTTGTCCAGAACTATCCGAAAATAAAAACTTCCCAGGCTCAATCCAGAACTGACCAGATGCTGATTAGTAAAATTGCCCAGTTCTCTGAGAGTTTCTCTGAGAGGCCAGTCATAATTTTTATAGCTGGAACCACATCTGCTTGCCCTGTCAGTGCCTGTCTAAACATCGGGAGAAACTGCACGGAAATTTATCAATTCGCCATTATAATTTCCTCTCGGGTATATAGAAGTGTTGCATTAATTAATTTTATATGTAGAAGAGAATAATAAACTGTGTACCACATTTACTTTTTCTTTTATATGTAAAAACTACTCGCGATAAAAATGTGTGTTTCTGCGATTGACATGAACGAGAAGCGAATATATTACGGTGTGTCCTATCGCATTAGGCAGTAGTGACTTAACACTATTGTTTCGGCAGTGTATTAAAGGTCGACTGGCGCATTGTAGACAAGGACAAAATCATGCTTATTACATTCATTTCCATTTTCGGCCGCATCGCAATTTGAATAACGGTTATTCAGTGATAATTCGTCTATTTCGGCAAGATTACGTTTTACACGATGTAAAACGCGCATGCGCGCCTCAATGTTCCGGCGCACTGTACCGCATTACGATGCATTACATCGCGAATAATAATACACATGACATTATAGATCCGCGGTTCAGACGTAAATACCGCACCATTAAGCGATCCGATGCCATTGGCGCGTATAAGAACTCCTGAAAGCGCATCGATATATAATGAATATTTGTATAATGTATTGCACAAGTACAGATCGGGAGCGGTGACGTTCCGCGAGTTATATATCGAATTCAATATACTCATCTACCGTGTAACGTGTCGAGAAAAGACTCGTACTTATTTACCTTTCTCCAACTGGAAATTGACATAGCCTGTCAGAAAACTATTGTATTGTACAGTGATATCAGTGATTATGATGGTGCATGCTTATGTCTGCAACAGAAATATATTGAACGAAATTCCTGTGAGATTGATACACTCAACGAAAACCGCCTGAGATAAGGTAACTTTGATGACTTGCGCGATAATTGAAAATTTCTGTAAACAGCTATATATTTTCGGCGGATGGGAAGGAATTGTCATTCATTCCGCTTAATCCTTTACTAGCGTGATTTCTTCTTGCGTAATTATTCGTAGATTGTATTTTATACCTCAATATTATATGTTAATTTTTATTTAGTTATTTTATTTATAATTAAATAAAGCATCTGAAAAAAATAAAAAAAAACAAATTAAGAGTTTACGTG